TACAGTGTTCAAACGACACGCCATTCCACCGCCTTGGTGAAATACACATACTACTTTCAAGTATATCTCTATTCTTATCAGTCTCCGTCATGATGATCTATTTTACATTACGAGGGGATTTTGGACGAGTATTCACGAGTTATCTGGTATACATCACTAATAAAATACACCTGTGTATTATGATACAAACTGATGGTTTTGAGCATGCTGGCATTTACTTGATAGCTGACGGTTGAACGATATTCAACATTGCCATTCTAAAAAGAAAGACACTGTAATGTTCGTTGACAAATTAATACATTATGATGCAATTTTGCTCGATTAAATATCTAAACTAGTTGAGTGGAACTGCACACGCTAAAGACTAACTGTAACCTTGCAATCTAACTTTGAAAACATTGTCCACCGTTTTATTTTCGTCCTTCTGCTTTCAGAAGGGTGTGATTTCAATGTCAAATACAGTTGAGACAATGGTGATTCCAATAGTCGTGTAGGACATCTCTTGGGATGCAAACGTAAACAAATCATTCAGTAATGAGTGCTTGTTTTATCAATAGCAACATCGTATTTGATATGATATTACAACGATAAAAGATATAAGGGGGGAAATGATACTCAACAAGAATTTTCCTCGATCGCTGAAAGGTTTGTTTTATTTTTGTAATTCAATAACGTATTGACAAACTTAAACATATTAAGGGAAGAATTTAATAGCGTGACGTTCTTGTTGGGCCACGAACTCAATCCTAGCCTATAGGAGATTGAACCTATACCGTTAGCTGTCATATACCCGAGGGTTCAGATTTAACTGTAAAAACCTAGAATCGCCAAGGTTAGGACAGTTAAAATCTAATTCTAAGGTTGATATTTTCCTTGCCTGCTAACATTACTTTTATTGCGGGATATTTTCTATATACTTTAACATTTTAAATATTTCCTTGTTGTGGAAAATAGTGTTGTTCAAAACACGATTTTACATTAATTCATACAAAAAAGTGCCAAATTTGTCAAGTCGATCGTGGCGTAGTAGGATATGGTTACATTATGTAAAACACGATGACGTTAAATAAAGTGACACAATCATGAATGGAGACATTTAAGAGTCATATTTTGAATTAGTTATTCAGGTAGATTTTTTCTATCTAGGAAAATATTGATTGGACCTTCTTATTTTTCGATTTTTCGTCTACTACAGATTAAGAATATACATATACTGTAATTAGATAATGTGTACCATTAGCCTGACGATCTGAAAGAACTCATTTACTTCGTCTACTACAAGTGTACGACTGATGTGTTGCACTAAACGTTTATCTTGTCGAGACAATGGGGCCAAAGGGGGTACATCAAGTATATAACATTGACGGGACAAATCACTATTTTATCATAGTGTAGCATAAAGTGTATTATATAACGTGAAAAGAAGATTGATTTGTTGAGGTCGAATAGAAATACAGGTAATCGATTCTTACCCCTGGGGTTTTTCTTTTCTGAGTAAATCAACATATATATTAAAGTAAGTCTATTATTGATAGTCCTGGTTATATTTTACAGGAACCACTGCATCATAAGGATTAATAGGTTTCATTGCTTTCGCAGTGAGGTATTATATCTAATTTATTCCAAATTAAATTTCTTTGTAGTTAAATTGTAAAGATTTTGTAGGAATTGTGTATGCTATTCATCCGGAATAAAAATACCCTTGAATGTAAATTATTATGTTATGAATGCGTTTTCTTCCTATCGCCTATTTACCCGTTCATCACTTAAAAATCCATACATGCAATAAGAAATGCGTGTCAGATTGTTCCTGTGTGTGGAAGGTATTCATTGACTGCATTACTTAACAACGAGTGTAATATTACAGGGTAAACACGTACCATCAATGTTACCGTCACGTGATCAGTAGACAGACAGTAAGCGATAGTACAGTTTTGTTAAGTATCAGCAACCAATGTGATCACCTATGGCGTTTTAAAGTAGATATTCCAACATTATTCTAGACATAAAAATGCCATTTGGCAGAACATATTGCAGTAATCAAACCGTTATTGTACGAAACTTTCTTAGTTATGCGATACATACGCTATGAAGCTGTTATTAAACTAGTAATTGTCCCACATGTACTTATATCACCTACTTAACATGGAAACTCCACACTTCACAGACACCGTACAATGCTTCTTTATTTGATGTTGTTGCTGATATCAGATTAATATTCTTTACTGTTTAATAAAGGTATATATGTCTATGGAAGTCATCGATACATAAGGGAAAGAGGGTGTCTTAAAATCCAATCTAAGGTATATTGAGTGTGTCTCTAGATAATCCTTATAGCCTGCGGGTAGTCGGTATGTATAAGTCGTGTTACCTGTCTTGCATCCTTGCAAGTATTGTAAGGAAATACTTAAAATTGGGACCCGTCCACACAGCGGTTATATTGGTATACACACAAATGTGCACTTCTTGTATATAATATATATCGTTATATACATATGTATACAATACTTGTATATAATATATATCGTTATATACATATGTATACAATACTTGTATATAATATATATCGTTATATACATATGTATACAATACGTGTATATAATATATATCGTTATATACATATGTATACAATACGTGTATATAATATATATCGTTATATACATATGTATACAATACGTGTATATAATATATATCGTTATATACATATGTATACAATAC